AAACATTAAGCAAGCTGAATTGAGACCCATTCCTATAATTTAAACTTTTCAGTTATCTTTTCTTTTGTTCCTTTTTTTTTTGCAGTTTTTGATTATATGAGAAATTCTAGTAATTCTTGGTGTTTTAAAGAATATAACTCTGTAGTTCCATGGAAATAGTACTGCTTATTGCAAGTTGTCTCCTGCTGTTAAACAACCATACAACAACAGGGCTGCTCCAGTGGCTTTTCTTATAAATGTTATATTCACAAAGCATTCATAAACTGTTGCTGAATAGTTAAAAGTTTCTAACATGTACATCAATGATAACAATAGCTATCTCACACCAGATAAACAAGCTCCTTTTAGCATAAATTAATGTTTCCTTTTCTTCCACCTTGCAAACCAGTTTTTATAAAACCATATATTATAAGCCTGAGCCTTGCTTCTTTGTAAGCATATTTCCAAAGTAGGTTAGATTAAAACTACAGTATCTTTTATTTGAATTTTCTAAGTATAATAGAAATATTACTCATTGTACACAGCCTAAATCCAATTGTAGGCCCAAATCAATTAAACCGATTGAAGCAAAAGGACTGGATGCTTTACTTTATTTATTTTATTTGGACTTATACCCGGCCCCTCTAGACAAAGTCTACTCGGGGCAGCTTACATGAGAGATAAAATACAATAAAATAACATAACATACATAATGATAAAAACCCACTAACTGATACATACATACATTATCAGAGACATACTTCCATTTGTTGAAGATCTGCCACTGAAAAATATGGGAAGAGTTTTGTTTTGTTTTTTAAAATGCAACTGTGGTCTCTTGTGCAAACTGCCAAATTATTTCAGTGGATTTCCTTATGTCTTTCTAGGTAGATTTTCCAAATCTGTACTAGGTTTCAGGAAAAGTTAACTGGAGGAAAGGTTAGCTGGCAAAAACACCTACCGTATTTGCCGGTGTATAAGGCGACTGGGCGTATAAGATGACCCCCCAACATTCCCACTCAGAATGTAGTTTGTTATATACTTGCTGTATAAGACTACGCCCCTTCCGCATGCGTGATTCTGCTTTGGCTGCATCATGGGGAGAGTTCCTTTTGCCCCTTTTGGTTCCTTTTCAGAAAGAGCCAGGGTTTGCTGGAAGAAGGAACAGCAGAGAGGCGGCAGCCATTTTGAGAGGCAGCAGCCATGTGGTCGCATCTCAAAATGGCTGCCTCCTCTCTGCTGTTCCTGACAGTCAGCTGTTCGGTGCTAGAGTCAGGCTGTTCCCAGGCTAGGAGCCGGGCTCTACTCGGTCTTACTACCAGGTAAGTGACTTCACTGGGAGAGAGGGAGGGTTTGCTGGGCATGCACCCGGCGTACAAGATGCCCCCCCTTGGAGGCATGTTTTTCAGGGCCAAAAAGTCATCTTGTACGCTGGCAAATATGGTACATTTAGCCCAATATATTTAAGTATGTTAAAAAGCTTTCAATAAGTAATATGCTGCATGGAGAGAAAAACTGCAAGGCCTGACTTTTAGGCCCTGTATTGTGCAAGTAAAATATTTGCATCAATTCTGAAAAGTTTTTCCTGTGATGGTGATTCAGTTATTTTACTATTGACTTCATTCTATTTTATTAGTTATTTCCCTTTAAACTATGGCTTTGTTAATCTTTTGAAGAATTAGTTTTACATGGTGACTATTGCTTTATAAAGTTCTACCCAATTCATTCTATGTTTAAAAAAACATTTTTGTGTGCAAATTAAATTGGTATTGAATTTTCTTGTTCCTCTAGGCAATTTATAGCTTTTAAATGAGTTTTGTATATATTTGCCATTTGCCTCCTTATAATTGAAGATGCTGGAAAGTATATATGAACACAATGAGTGAAAAGCTTATTAATGTGTGAATTGTCACAGACAGATAATTGTATTTTTGTATTCTGAGCTACTAAAAATGAACTCTTTGTATTTGCCTAAGAATAAGGAGGGGTGTTGCTTGTAACTTATATGATTGTGTGCATTTGTATTTCTTTAAATCACAGCTGACCTCAGATGTCACCGATGCAACAATTCACCATTCATGTTGTGGATAGATTATTACTGCCTCGGAAAAATACCACCTTGTTTTCAATAAAATGTTGTTTAGCCTTCTACCAATTGGGAGTGCTGAAGGGAAGAGTGGGGACAGGGCAGGTTGTCTTGTCCTCTGCTCTGTTGTCCTTTTTGTGTAATAGCTTCCACCTTCCACAAGCTGGAGAGCCAGGTCAGCACCAGGAGGCTATCTCAATGTGTGTAGGCTTCCCAGACAATTTAGAACCTAGGCTGCGGAGGGTTGGGAGGTCATGTAGAGCCTACAAGGTTTGTGACAGGTTGGTAGATGGCATGTGGAGGGAGAATTAAGCATGCTGGTGCTGCAGAACCTGAGCTTTCAGTGTGTTGATGGCAGGAGTGACTGGACACAGGGGATATGCTCCCATGGTCTTTCACAGAACTGTGCTGCAAGATGTTTTAAACTCCCTGAATATACTGTACAGTTGTTCTGACAATGAAGCCACGTCTAACCTGAGGTAAATCCTAGTGCATTCAGTAGAGCTTATTCCCAAACAACTGGGCAAGTAGACATCCTGAGGCTGCTAGAATGGTTCCCTATAGGGCAGTGATGATGAACCTTTTTGGGCCCGAGTGCCCAAACTGGAAACAAAACAAAACAAACAAACAGCAGGTGGTGGGCAGCGGCAGCCATGGAAGCAGAAGTGACGGTGGCGGAAGTGGTGATGGAAGGGGAAATCCTGGGCAGTGAGGTGTCTCAAAACCCCTCTCCGGATCTGCTGCTGGCACCAGCTGTTCTGGATCCTGGTTTGCTGCCTGTCGGGGCACCAGCACCACGGTTGCAGCCGCCTTCTCAGGTGTGGCTGCGGGGGGGGGGAGGGGAGTAGCGATCTGGTGACTTATGGTTCATGGGCCCGCAGAGAGTGCTCTGTGTGCCAGCTGTGGTTCACCACATGGCTACTATAGGGTTTCAGAATATCTTACTTGGGCAGCAACCTGTCACTGACCGCTATCTAAAAGAAGAATTTGTTCTTTAGTGGAAACATACCTAACAGCTTAAACTGATGACTGATTGATTGATTGAATATATCACCCAATTGCGTAATACACACTCTCTGTGCTGTTAACAACCAACACATATAGGTGACACATAATGCTAAACCTGTTGTAAACATCAGTAAACAATAAATGATAATATAAATTATAATGAAATAATTTACCCAAGCCTTGTCGGCCTAAGAACTTTAGATATTTTTGTATGATAGTGAGTCAGTACAGAGTCTAAGATTTTTTTAAACACCTTTGCTGTCTTTTGAGATGAACAATGAACATCAGGCTGCAGTGTGCATTGATTCTTGGCCAGTAGTTCTTTATATCCAATATACTGCTACTATGAAGATAGTGATAATGACTAATAATAACAATGATAATGATGATGATGATGATGACAATGATGATAATAACCTCCTTCTCTAGGACCAGCAATTCTTGTTCAAAACAGAACAGCATACCTAAACCTTATTTGCCTCCCTTGAAAAGGACTTTGCAGAATGGAACTTCTATTCACTTCTGGTTTTGTTTGTTTTTGGGGGACTGGTGCTACCCAAGAAAGAAAGAAAGTCGAATGAGCCCTAAAATTGGTGCTGGAATTTTGCCATGTGTACATCCCTGTTTTTGCAGACAGTGGATAGTTTAAATGACAGTTTTCATGCCTTTTCTAACTTCTTAGGCTTTGGTTGTATATTATTGAACAGTAGCATATATTTGTAATGCTTGGTGTAATTATGATTCAAGGAGGTTTGCTGCATGAATCCAGGTTTAGTCCCTCCACTAAGCTCCTCTTCATAAAACTGAAAAATAATTGAAATTTAATCCTAAGCGATGACACAAATCTTTCCTTCCAACTTGTTTCTGTATCCATGAAAGAGCTGCAAACTCTTTAAATCAAGAGATTATGATTCAACAAAGACTGATGACCTGGCTACTGTAGGGAGATGTAGCTTGAAATGCAATTTAAGCAGCTGGGTAAGAGCTGGATCAGTGTCAGCCATCATTCCAATTGCACCTTTGCCTGTACTATAGGTTAGATTTGATCTTAAGCTATATGTTGGAACCTACCATCCTGAAATCACACATAGCAGTTTTTCACACTGGTGTGCCTATGCACCTCATAGAAATTGTGACAATCCTGAGGTAAATAACAATGAAATGGAAGGAGCTGAACTGACATTGCCTTGGTGAATGAAACACATTCTCATTTGTGGTTAAGTTGCATGACCCCATGTTCTCTTAACCTCATGATAATAAAGGTATATGAAAGGGAGTGTATGAAAAAGGACAACATTTCTTTTGCTAGCAGTTTTAGTGGTTCACTAGCCAAAACCCTACAGAGATTTTTCCCCCTTGGCGTAAATGGAATTTTGAGAGTCACAATGGCAAATAGCAGGTGCTTATAAAGGTGCTACTATATTCATAACACACAACCAGGCATGCAACCTGCACCTCATTAATTAGCTGCTTTATTTGTTTGTTAATTTTATTTAATTTATATGCTGCTTTTCTTCCCATAGAGGACCCAAGGTGGCTCACAGTAGCTAAAATTATACAACAATTGCCGGTTCAAAGTACCACATAAATACCATATTTTAAAAACCAATTAAACATATATTAAGATTAAAACCATTTTTAAAACATTTTAAAAATATTTAAAAATACATTATCTCTAAGTTAATAAACAAAGTATTCCTGAGGCACTTATTGTTTAAAAACCTGTCTGAAAAGGAAGGTCTTTGCCTGATGAGCAAAGGGCAAGAGGAACGGGTCAGCCTTGCTTCTTGGGGCAGCACATTCCAAAGACTGGGAATGACCACGGAAAAGGCCCTCTCTCATGTCCTCACCAAATGAAGTTGGGAAGGTGTTACAAAATGCCATAATATCTTTAAGATTTGCCCTTCTTTTTGTTTGGTTTTTTTAGGTCATTGGGGCCGGTGCATAGGTGATTGTGGTTCAGGTGGTGTTCAGAGCCGTATCGTTTGGTGTGTCCATTCAGAAGGCTGGACAACCCACCATTCCAGTTGTGAACAAAATTACAGGCCTGAAAGCCAGAGGAGCTGCTTTAAAATATGTGACTGGCATCTTGAACTCTTTGAATGGGAAGTTTCAGAATGGCACAGATGTATTCTAGTTCCTTTTGCCCATGGTGAAGTCAAGCCACGGACTTCAGAGTGTATAATGGCACAGCATGGATTACAGCACAGACGTGTACAGTGTGTTCAAAAGCTAAATAGAACAGTAGTCACAAATGAGATCTGTGAATATTTTAATCCCCAGCCAACTACGGAACAAGCTTGCCTCATACCTTGCCCACGGGATTGTGTGGTATCTGAATTCTCCTCCTGGTCTGGATGTAGCAAACACTGTGGAAAAAGTTTACAGCATAGAACCCGTTCTGTTGTTGCTCCTCCACTTTATGGTGGAGCCAGATGTCCAAATCTGACTGAATCGAGGGTTTGCGATGTTTCCATCTCTTGTTCTCGTGGGGAAGAGGAATATAACTATAGTCTCAAAGTTGGACCTTGGAGTAAATGCAGACTTCCTCACCTTAAAGAAATGAATATGTTTGGGAGAACAATGTTGGATTTCAGCTCAGACTCTACAGAACGAAGTACTTTCAAACTACAAGTGATTGAGGATCTGCAACATTTTCACAGGTTTAAGGCCGATTATAGTTCCAGGCCTTTGGATATAGAAATTGGTTATCAAACAAGGCAGGTGAGGTGTACAAGAAACGACGGAAAAAATGCAATGCTGAGGTAAGAGATCATCTTTATTTGTCACTTTTTTTGTCTGAAAAACTGTTAAACTACCTGCGTGTCCATACTGTAAAGCAGTGGAGGGTGAGGTATAGCCCTCCCTGAAACTTCCACCAGCCTTAGCTAGAAATGTGTCATTCCCACAACAAGGAAAATGTATTGCACCTGTATTTCCCTTCCACTTAAGGAACTTTCTGAGGCTTTTAGTAGATGTATTGTGAAGATAATATTTTGTGCAAATTTGCTGATTTTGTACAGAATTGCCTGAGAGTTTTGTGCAAAATTGCAAAATTTGTGAATTGTGCAAATTTCCCCAAATTAGAATGATTGCTGCTTTGTTTAAAAATCTGAATGTTATGTGGGTTGGAATCTGAACAAAGGACTGCTGGATAGATCAGTGATTTAAGTATCTGTCTGTGGAGCCAGATGTTTGGAGTTCAGTCCCCCTTGACAGGGGCTGGACTCGATGATCCATAGGATCCTTTCCAACTCTGCAGTTCTAAGGTGGTGGTGGTGGTGGTGGTGGTGGTTGTTAGTCAGAGTTCTCTGTATTTGCTGTGTGTGTTTCTGTGCATGCTTTATTTCTCAAACGAAAAAACAATAGAGGAATACTGCAGAGGCTTTAAAGTTCTTTGTCACCTTATGTCATCCTCAGAGTGGTCGAAATGACTAGATAGGCGGTCTTATGTCATCCTCATAAGACAGCCAAAACGAACAAGAAAAAGGAATTTAACAAGTTTTCTTTCAACTTGTAGCCTTAGCCAACACAGCCAGTGGTAAAGAATTGTGGGATGCACAGTCAACCAACATATGGAAGGCTGCACTTCACCCACCATTTACCATTTACATCAACATTTTCACATATTTGGGATTTAATTAAATTTACTCCAGTTTAATGTTAAGGTAATAGAAGTGACATATTTTGAAGAGGTACTTTGATAGTGGAGTAGAAATGGATGCTGCAGCTTAAATTATGCTTTCTTCTGTAGACCTACCAGTAATGTTCAGTTGCTCTTTTAGAAGCACCAGATAGCTTCCATAGCCCCTAGCTGTTATGGTTGTACAGTGGTGCCTCGCATAACAATGTTAATTGGTTCCATTAAAAACCTCGTTATGTGAAAACATCATTAAGAGAAACACCATTTCCCATAGGAATGCATTGAAAACTGGTTAATCCGTTCCAATAGGAGCCTATTCAATACATTTTAATGGTGAAAAAAAAATCACCAAAAATTCAAAAAGAATCAGAACGAAGCCAAATTACTTGAACGAAGGTTTTATTAGGTGCACTAATGATTCCAAGCATTTTAAACATTTTTCAAACATTTTAGAATATTTTTAAAATAGCGAAAACAGGGCTTCAGAAAAAACGTTAAGCGAAACAGGGGACCTAAAACTGTCATCGTTAAGTGAAGCAAGGTCCCAAACATCGTTATGCGAAAATCCCCCATAGGAAACATCGTTAGGTGAGGCGGCAAAATTTCCAGCAAAGGCCATCGTTATGCAAATTCATCGTTGAGCGAGGCACTCGTTAAGCGAGGCACCACTGTATTGGCCTTTTGGCTACATGCAGTAAAAGGCTGAAACGTAGTATATCAGTTATGGATGGGTTCACACATTTACAAATCACTGAAAACCTGACTACCCAAGAAGATGCAATTATGTGGAGGAACTAATTCCAACCAAACTATCACTTCCATTTCCTGTAGTAATTTGCATGACTAGAACAATAAAACATATGCTACTACAATTATATATAACTGTTGGGAATTAGCTGATATATTTATGCATATGCTTGGTTGGACTTTCCATCTCCGCCGCTTAGTCCTGGCTGAACCTGTCCATTGGAGTAATCTGTAAATTACTAAACTAGTCAAAATATGACTCTCGCTCCCTGCATTCACATATTTCTATTACACTGAATGGGCCAAATTCTAGCTTTCAATTTCCTATTCTGTATCTTCCATGGCATTCTCTAAATAATGAATAGACCTGGTCTTTTGCTCTCCCTCTACTTACTGCTGTTGTTCAAAAGCTATTTCTCATCAGTTTAATTTTTCTCTCTCATTTAGGCCAGCACAGTTTCTTATAATCCATACAACACCGTTTATTTCCATATAAATATCTCATAATAGCAAATATATTTTTATGAGTTTGAGGACATTCTGCTGAAGAGGAGCTTGAGCTGAAGTCCTAAAAAGGCTAATGAAGTCATCACCTGGGGCAATGTTTTGGGAAATTAAACATTTCCTCCTCCTGTATCAAGGCTTCCATAGATCCTGAGTAGTTTCTTTCATTATCTGGAATTCATTGAGGCTATGATGGGATGGGAGAGGGAAGTCTTTAATTACTGAAGATCTTTGCCACCAGGTAGCTTTACCAGTATAGTAGCATTTTTTTGGAAACTAAAGACTTCCTTCTCTGATCCTATGTCCCCCCACAGGTTCCTAATGATGAAAGGGATTACTTGGGAGCTGTGTGGGTCTTGGGACACAAGAAGGAAATTTTAATTAAAAAATCCCCAGTTGATGGCATCATCAGCCTTAACACAAATAAGTTTCAACCACTAAGTGTAAAATATCGTAGCACTTACATTTGCCTTTAGATTTTGGGAGTAAAGAATTGATGACATAATAAGTTTTTTATTATGGATTTCTTAGAATCTTTCAACAGCCATGATCTAGTTTTCCCATGCTTGCTCAAAGAGAGGAAGGCCTTTTATTATGTTGCTGACAATTTAGTGGACCACTGAAGTAGAAATATGACTTGCAGCCTATATGTGGCCTACTGTTTATTAAAGCTTTTTTTTGTTTTCTCTTTTATTTGTTTTTATTTCTTTTTCTTTTCTTCTTTTTGTATATAGTTTTTATTAGCTATACAAAGAATGAGTGCAAAATGTCAGTATAGTTCCTGAGGTTTCTCTCTTATCACATTTTTTAAAAACAGATTCTTTGTGCCAGTGTCAGTGTGCTGTAATTCAACAGTGGCTTTTGCAGACAATCCTGGTGTGTTGCTGGATAAATTTGCAATATGGTTTGTGGACAGAAAATGGAACTATTGAAATACAGTTGCACTGGCACACATTTAAAACAGCAGATCACAGTACCAAATAACACCAATGTCATTCCTGGGTGGACAAAAATTCCCTTTGAAGAGAAAGGATGTACTGGGTACAGGAAAGTAAAAGTTTTTTTTTTTTTTTTGGAGCAAAGAAACATTAATGTTTCCCCCTCTGTATTCAAAGAAAGAATATTTTCAGCATTGTATTCGTTAGTACAGATTTGTTAAGGGCAGGTGGTAAGACTTCTATTCCCTGCAGTGATATTAGGAAAGGTGACAAATGGATCTAGACCCAGTCCTGGGGTGTGTAGGAAATGAACCCCTCTAGACAAAGCATGGCTCACATTTATTTATTTTTCTTGAGCACTACTTTTACCAGAAAATCATTTCCCTCTTCCCCCCCTGGGCTTCGATATCTAATAGCATCCGAAATCCTCTCCTTAGAACACAAGGTGACAAGAATTGTGCCTCTCTTGTAGACCGTTAATGGATAATGCAGATCAAAGTGTTGAAGTCATCAAGATGATGGCTTCTCTACACCAAATATACATTGGGATGCCTGTGAGGAATCATGGAAGGGGGCAGGGGGAGGAAGGAATAAATAATTGGGTGTGAAGACTACCTGGAACAATATAGCACCATGTCATGATGCTGCTGAGTTTGTATGTTTAGATTTCTGCTCAGCTAATCCCAAACTAGAGTCACTGTTGCCTTTGTCTGAATCATTTCCCCCTCTTCCCTTCCCACACTTGTTTCATTTTGTGTTGCAAAACTGTTGCTTCTGGATTTGCCTGGCATAATTCACTAGTTAAAAAGAAATTTAAAAGAACCTGGTGGTCAATGTGATTCCTGTCATTCCTCCCAAGGATGGGAATGGAAAGATACAGTCACATTTCTGTTAGTAGTCCACCAGATGGATAAATCTGTTTTTTTTCCCCCCAAAAATAGAGGATACAAATTTCTTTTCTATCACTCCTTTAAATCTCAGCAGTTGAACATTATATTGTCACTGCTCTGAAGTTATTTGTAAACTGGCTGGGGAATTTAAAATGGAAACTAGTGCCGAAGTGCTTGTAAATAAAGGCTTCTAGAAGCACTCACCATTTGGGCCTACCTCCTTTCCTTGTGTCATCGTAAGTTGTCAGGCAAAGGAACAGGAGGCAACAGTGGCCATACCCCTTGCTCTTTTGGGATAGGATTTGCCCCAGAGGTTTGTGTCAATGCTATGCCAGTTTCTTTTGCTGAGTGCCTTGCTTTGAAGCTTCATTGGCATCCCTTTTGGGACTACATCCAGATAAGAGGTTTGAAACAACCTATTAATTTTTTTTTCAGAAAAAAAACCAAAACCCAATGATATTAATTTTTCAGTTTAGAAAGCAAAAATAACCCTTTGGTACCTTTGCAATTTTATGCTACATTTAGTGTAATTAACCTCACATTATGTGCCATTAAATGCTGTGATCTTGTTTGAAAAATGTAACCTCATGAGACATTATAAGGAAAGCGGCTATTATGTTTGTCTCTTGTTTTGAGAAGTGTACATCCTTATCTTTATTTTATCTTATCTTTAAAATCTGGATTTTATCTCAGTTTATTTTTTTGTATTATATGTAAACGGCTCAGAGTAGACCCATTCCAGATGGGTGGTATATATACAGTATATATATTTATATATTATTTGAAGAATAAACACATGAATGGAGGTCCCATTCTACGTATGGCATTCACATGTCTTATTTGTGCACATTTTTTAAAGTTTCCCAGTAATAGCTCTGCCATGTAAACAGCTTGGAACTGTAAGGGGGAGAAACACCATTTATTGTTTCCTTACCGCTGTTAAATGTGTTATAAGCATATATATTGGCCAAAATCCTACTGGTCTTTGTGAAACTTGTTGCAGTTTAATTGTGGCTAATTTATGAGATGCTGAGGCCCATCCCACTTGCAGAATCAGGTGCATAACCAGGTATGCAGTCAAAACATACCCTGGCAGTTTGTCAAATGGCTGTAGCAAGTTATACAAACCTTATGCAAAGAAAGGTCAATAGGATTCTGGCTTTTATTAATTAATATACAGTGGTGTCCCGCTTTATGATTGCCCCGCATTACGATGAATCTGCTTTACGACGATCTTTTTGTGATTGCAATTACGATCGCAAAACGATGGTCTAAATGGGGGAATTTTGCTTAGTGATGATCGGTTCCCTGCTTCGGGAACCGATTCTTCACAAAACAATGTTTTTCTAACAGCTGATTGGTGGTTTCAAAAAGACCACTGGGCAAATAAAATGGCTCCCCGCTGTGTTTAGGGACGGATTCCTCGCTATACAGGCAGTGAAAATGGCCGCTGTATGGAGGATCTTCGCTGGACGATGAGTTTTAAGCCCATTGGAATGCATTGAAAGGTTTTCAGTGTGTTTCAATGGGCTTTTTAATTTTTGCTTTACGATGTTTTCTCTTAACAGCGATTTTCCGGGAACGGATTATTGCTGTTAAGTGAGGCACCACTGTATCATATACTGTTGATCAATTTATCTGCTCTTTCTTATATCTAAATTGCCATTTCACTTTAGTGACATATCTTGAACACTAGAATCCTCTTCAGAGATCTCAAGGTTGGTGTCTCATACTTTTTCAGCCTAGTAATTCTTGTTTTATTCTTACTGTTGAGTGATCAAAATGAGGAATGAGAAGAAGGATGAAGAATGCTTTGAGATTTTGTTCCCAGTTTTTTTAAACATTGTCCTCTCTTATCGCAGCCTTTGTGTACAAGACACCGTCCCCTTGACCTTTCAGTCCTGTGTTATGCCCAAAGACTGTGAAATGTCTGATTGGTCTTCATGGAGCTCCTGCTCAAAGACTTGCCACGCGGGGGATCTCTCGCCAGGATTCCGCAGTAGAACTCGGAGTATCAAGCATGTCGCTGTTGGAGCTGGCCAGGAATGTCCTGAAGCTGAAGAAAGGGAAGCCTGCAACACTCATGGTACTGGAGAATATCTTCATCCTTGCCCAAGGTATATGCCAGGCAGTGGATTCTGTGCTTGCTTTGTGTGTGTTCTTTGCTTATGAAAGGGAAAGGAGCTTAGTTTTGTAGGGAGGGAATTTGATGAAATTACAGAGATGTTGATCTGAAAAATTGTGTTCCTTGTGCCTCAGTTTCATGTGGAGGTGAGGGGTTTTGCTGGACTTGTTGACCTGTTGTCTTGTTGCGAAAATCTCAATTGATTAGAATGAAAAATGTAGCATCATGTTCTTTCCTCCATATTCTTAGCTACTTGGTGTAGGTGGTAAGAGTTACAGGTGTGGTAGCACATCACAGAACAAAACATAGATCAGTGGAGACATAAACATATGTTATAAGTAGAAAACTTACGATCCTGATCTAGACTGTGGTTTCCAGTTGCTTATAGTAATCTGCTACATCTGGATCATTAGAAAGAGTATAAAGCTAAAGTTTCTTCTTTCTGATCACAACACAAGAACAACAGCCTTTTCTATGTAAGCAGGTAATGTTCCTGGGACACTAGAATGCTGCGTGGAAAAAAAAAAGCCAAAGGCCAGTTGTGCCCCATGGACCAACCTAGGTAAAGGTAAAGGTTCCCCTTGACATTTAGTCCAGTCGTGTCCGACTCTAGGGGATGGTGCTCATCCCCATTTCCAAGCCATAGAGCCAGATTTGTCTGTAGACAGTTTCCGTGCCATTACCTTCCCACAGTGGTGATACCTATTTATTTACTTGCATTTTTACATGCTTTCGAACTGCTAGGCTGGCAGGAGCTGGGACAAGTGACGGGAGCTCACTCCATTGCATGGATTTGATCTTACCACTGCTGGTCTTCCAACCTTGCAGGAGAGAGACTTCTGTGGTTTAACCTGCGGCACCATCACCTCCCTTATGGACCAACCTACTCATTTAGCAACTGAGGCAGCACACTGGATTCAAGCCACATACATCTTACTTGGTTCCCTTTGGGCTGGAATGTTAAATTGTTTCCAACATATGGCAACACTCATCAAGTTTTCTACGTATGAAATACTCAAAAGTAGTTTATCCATGCTTTTTTCTGGTGGTTCCATGCAGGTTGCTCAGGGCCGTACAAGCGGCCAGGACACATATCCCTATCAGTCTCAACCATGCAGGTTGCTCAGGGCCGTACAAGTGGCCAGGACACATATCCCTATCAGTCTCAATCACTTGGCTGGCCCTTCCCAGGAGAGATTATGTGACTCTGGAGACACATATATAGAGAGAACAAATGTTGCTGAAATGAACTCATTCACATTTTGTGAATGGGGATGTGAAGGACAGTCTCTCCTGTATGATCAGAGGAACATGCTCAAGACTTCTTTAATGGCAGGTCGTTTTCTCTCGGAAATCACTCAAATATAGAGCTGAACCTTTAGCAGACAGCTTAGCAGATTGATGGCCATGGAAGTGATTTGTGCTCTTATTATTGAAATTTTCTCTTAGGTTTGGTCCAATCAGTTGAGCAGCTGCAATAATACAGGGTTGTTGGTTTTTTGTTGTTGTTTTTAAAAATTCTGCCTCAGAAATAGAAAAAAAAATATTCACCTCACTCAGAGAGGCTTCTCTTTCTGATAGTGATATGAATTCTGTTCCAATTCTTCTCTGAGTGGTCGAGATTTTTATTATCTTTTTAGTTTCACAGAGTAAACAATCATGAATGAGCATATTGATGTGGTTGACTGAAATGACTCCAGAACTTTGCTCCCTGTTTCCGGTACTTCTCAAGCAGATGATGTAATCATACATAGCATACAAAATCTTTCAAAGGGGGGCAAATATGCAAAGGTCATAATATAGTGTGCATTGTGTTACTTCAAAATCAGCAACCTGCTCATCATTCCGTGCATCTTGCTATCAGTAGGAAAGAGCGAGGGTACTTTAAAAAATGTTGCTTGATTAGATCTTGCAAAAACAGCTCTTTTAGGCTGATTTTTCACTTTTCTACTGCAATTCATGACAATCAGAAAGACAAAAGGATAGATTGTCCAACTGATTTCTGTGCGCAGTGACCTGTTTTATCTGACAGTCATGTGCTTGAAATATTCCAGCCTGCTGGCTAATAAGTGAAGAAAGAGATTTGTATTTGTAATTTATTCTTACATTTTTCTACTCAACAAAAAGAAGAGTAAAGTGAAAGGCCTAACCAGTGCTTAAAGGCCTGAGGTATTGTTAGGTCTGACATTGTTTTTCTAACCTGAAAACCTTGTTTTTGTTAAGTATATTGAAGATGCCTTCCACTAAAATATTTATGGGGAAGGCTGACGTCAGGTAGTCGGTCAGCATGAGCAAAGACACTGCCTTCAGGTTGATTGGAAAAGACTGAAACTGATTTAGAACAACGGATTATCATCATCTTTTCACCATATTCCTGGCTTGTTTAAAAACACTGAAGTGAGATTGTATGAAAACCAACAAGCATCTCTTGATTTGCATGGTATTGTGCTTTGTGTAGTCCACTGAAATAATTACTGTAGGGGTATTTATTGGATTCTTGTGTGGTTTTTTTTGTTTGTTTGTTTCTGTGTGCTGTCAAGCTGCTTCTTAATTACTATAAGGGTATTTATTGGATTCTTGTGTTTTTTTTGTTTTTTGTTTTTTGTTTCTGTGTGCTGTCAAGCTGCTTCTGACTTTTTGTAACTCTACAGAAACTTCCAAAAGGTGTTATTATTAGCAGTCCTGCTCAGGTCTTGCAAACTAAAGGCTGTGGTTTCCTTTTCAGAGTCAACCCATCTCATTTTAGATCTTGTTTTCCCATTGTCTTCTAGGATAATTGTGTTTTCCATTGAGTCTTATATTCTGATATGTCCAAAGTATAGTAGCCTCAGTTCAGTCACTTGAGCTTCTGGTGAGAATTCAGATTTGATTTGCTCTTAAACCCACTTATTTGTCTCTCTGCCAGTACATGGTACCTGTAAAACTCTATTCCAACATCACATTTCAGACGAGTAAACTTTGTGCTTCACAGCTTTCTTCATTGTCCAACTTTCATATCTGTACATATGGATGCTTTTACCCTTCATTTCCAATGACTGCTCTTCCAAGAATCTCCCCCCCCCCCCCGATTTCTTGGCTGCAGTCTCCATTTTCATTCTTGAGCAAGTCAAGGTATAGAAAATCTTATAAGAATTTCAGTTTCTTCATTGCCAACTTTAATGTTTCTTGCCAGAAATATGATGTGATCTGAATATCTTAAATTATAGATGTTTCTCGGTGTTGCTCATCATTCACCTGAATCTAATCAATCTCTTTGTACAACATGTTCTGCATACATATGAAACAGATAGGGAGATTAAATACACCCTTTTCAGACAACTGTGTTAATGGGAAATCATTCTGATTCCCCATATCCTGCCCTTACAGCTTTTGAAGGGGTTATAATGGCTGGTGGCAATGACTTCAAGAAATGTGACATTCTTTGAAGCCACTGATACATTCTAGTGCCCAATGACATGCAAGGTGCAGACTAGAGCAAAAACGAGACATTCCTTCTGAGCTGGGAAGAAAAGGGAAGGGAGAATGAAAAGGGACTGTCAGCTAGTTTCTTTCAACAATGTGAGGCAAAAAAAAACCCAACAGGTTTTTGGATACAGATGTGTCAAAGTTCTTATTTTGCCAATCTTTTTCTGATTACTTTTTTCTTCATACATTGCAGTGGGTCCTTTTTTGAGATGTGTCTCAGTGCATTGCTCATTCTGACAGTGAATTGGGGCATTTGAATATTGATGTCTAAAACTTTTAAAGCTTCAAAGGGATTTTCAGTTGTTTGAAGTCAAATGTTTGATGTAAAAAATGAACCTTAACTGCTGTTTCCCTTTCCCTGTCTGTCCTTTTTCCTAAACAAAAAAAAGCTTTACTTTTAGAGGGTAGCAGTTGTTGAGCCTTCCTGACAGATTCTGACAGTATCATGGTTTGATAGTCTTTTATTATGGGGACTGTGGTCCTTGATAAGATAATGCACTTTGCACAAGAGCCATCAGGTGTAGAAGGAGTAGAAAGTGGGTATGAGTCCCTATACAAGTCAGTCTTGTTGAAAAGAGTTGTATCCTGCACAGACTGAGGCTATTATATCTGAGTGGAGAGCTGTATGTTGCTTATTCCATCCTTAACTTCTTGGGAGCTCTTAAAGTGTTAAACTAATATTTAGAGGTCCTGGATTTTCCTTTCCGTACATGTTATGAGGACAATGATGTGTCTTCTCTTGTTTAGAAAGGCTAATTTTAAACTTCTTGTACATAGTGGCTTTCCAAGATTAGTAATTTTAATGAAATAATAATATAGCATCATTAGTGGTACAACACTTACTCGACTTCTTTAAGCATGAAAAGCTTCTCTCACTTTCACATACATCAGAGTTTATTAGTTTAATAGTTTACTTCATATTGGTGACATTCTGGAGTGCTATAATGGTGAAACTAATGAGTACTTAGACTTGTTGAATAAAATCATCCTGTTGGGCTGCAATCCTCAGATTGCTTTCTTGGAAATAAATCCAAGTGAGCATAGTCTGACTTGTTTCCACTCAGAGGACTGATTTATTGAAATAATTTGAGTTATGCTAAGTGATATAGTTAGTGTGTCAATAGAAATAATCTCTCAAGAGGCAAAAATGACTGTTTCTCCTTGCATAAGCTTTCAACAGGAGGTAAATGCTGGTTTCACTTGCAAATTTGGTTGTTCTGGCATGGAGTTTTGAAGGAACTACATGTCTGGAGGGAAGATGGGCTGTCAGCTTCCAGTGGCACAGATGGCATCTTCTCTAGTTTAAGACGACCTTTTTAGAAAGGTCTGAAATAGTGTGGGGACATCCCCCCCCTCTGGAAGATAATTGGCTCATGGAAAAAATCTCCACCAGAAATACTGATGGAGGGAGCAAGAATCCAGAGCAGCCTAAATCTAGAAAGGAACAACATATGGAAGTATTTTAATTTGACAAGACCTTGTTATCTCTTGCAGAGTTCAAATGAACATAACATTGTTGTATAATTTTTAATGTAGTCTGCTTCTTGTTTTGGTGGAATACACAAGGGTTCTCCACAGCTGCACCCGTACTAATTGACTGAAGTTCAGCAGTTCTGAGAGCAAAACAAAACATCAGCTCTACCTAAAGTAGCCCCATTGAAATAAATGGGGCTTCTTTAAGTAGTAACTAACAAGGCCCGTTCATTTCAGTGAGCCTCCTCTACTTACTATATTTAGGCTTCATTATTTTCCGTATGCACCTAGCTTTCACATCCACTCTACGGTGAATTTTAGCTAAGCAACAACTTTAATGAACATAATTCGCTTAGAGCAAAATTTGTTAATGACTACACAAGGTTGGTAGCTCTCCTTAAACATTTCATACTGTAAACTGATTTCCATTTAGCCTTAGGGAATGTGACAGTTTAGAGTGATTGGAAACAATACACAGTGCATTTACTTTGTTGTTCATGTAACTTATGCAGAGTTGAGATGGTCTGCGTGAAAAAAGGCAAGCTGTATTTTTGAGATTTTTTTAAAATAAGGTTACACCTACAAAAGTTCTTCCTATTATGTGTTACGTATTGTGGGAGGACAGTTTTGCATTTGTCATTTTGAAGGCTGTCTGATTCTTGTAGAGTCAGTTCTTAATTTCTCTCTCTCGGTGTTTTGGTTCTAATAGCTATGTGTTTTTCCAAATCCATGCAATATATTTTAAATGTTTTAAACTAGAATATTAATCTGCTATGGTCTGCAGTTACAAGTAATTGTTTCATCAAACCCATTTGTTTTGTTTCACCAAAAAAAGAAGCAATGGGTTCCATGATCAAGGCTGTAGAGTTGCTTGAGAGTTTATTTTGTGTGTTTGCATAGACACAGACCAATTTTCCAGTCTTCTGTGGCTCATTTGTATAGTTAGGATTAGGGACGTGCACTGTCTTTAGACAAATATGCAAAATTTGACTTATTTATGAGTGTTTGTATGACTTGGGGGCAGCCACAAATCAGAACAAGAATTTGTTGTTCTCTGTGGGGCAAAGCATTATCACTCCCAATACTTTATGTTTCTGTTGGCGTTCATGGGATTAAAATTTGTTTAACCATAGTGCACTCAGTGATTTGAACTGGAGAAAGGGAAACTGAAAGTAATACACTAGATCAGTAGACCAAGCTTCTAATGCCAGAGGAGAAGACACATGTCAGCTGACACCTTCAGTAAAGCCCAAGATCTCCCATGGACATTCTGATCACTATGGAGGGATCAGACTAAGGTCACGGATAAAGCCCAAGATCTCCCATGGACACTATGGAGGGATCAGACTAAGGTCACGGCAAGCTGCATACAGTATCCCCTTGTAGCTGTTCTACTCACCTGCTGTATTGTGTCAGTGGTGGGCAAAGTGGAAAATGTTTGTTTTTGTTAGCTAGCATTCATATCCTGGAATTTTCTTGCCTCTTTCTTATCTAGCTGCATGAATTTGCTAAACAGTTTAGTATGAGGTTGATGTGTATGTGACTATGGATGAAGGTCCGTATTCCTCTTGTATGGGCTTTGATTGCTGAGAAGCCTGTGAGTGCTATGATGCCCTGTAGGCAGAAGTGGAATCTTCCCGTCTTTCACATGATCATCCTTGAAGTACTGTACTTCAATTATGATATTGTTATTTGGATTGTTATTATTGTCTTATGGAATGACAATTATTTATTGTATGTTTTTATCATTGTAATTGTGTTATTGTTGTATTTTAACTGCTTTTTACTATTGGAATGCGCTCTGGTATAGAGTGCAATAATAATAATAATAATATTTTAGAACAGAGAGGTACATTGAAAACTAGAAGAACTACAAAGCGTGACCTATGGTAGTACAGATTTCTAGATCTACCTTAAAGATATTTGGTTACTCACATACACATGAGTGCCTGACATTCTAGCCCATGTATCTGTTGATTCTTCCAGTACTGTTACTGCAAAATGTAAGTAAATAAATAAATAAATAGTACATGCCATCAAGTCAATTCTGACTAATAGCGACTGGTTTCAGGGTTTTCAAGGTAGAAAAATACATAGAAGGGGTTACTGTTCCCTTCTTTTGGGGTGCCCTTGGAACTGTGCAGCTTGCTCAAGGCTACAAAGGCTGGGTGTATGAGGCACATTGGGGAATCAAACTCCCAACCTCTGGGAGCCAGATACCTAAACCATTCAGTATCCAGCTGGCTTGTTTTTGTAGAAGATTGCATAAGCACATCCACGGAGATGGGCTCTGCTTAGAATGTGTATCTAGCCTCATTCAAAATACTTGTTGTCTATGTGCAGCCTAAGAAAGAGTAACCTGTATCCTAGAGCTGAGCTCCACAAAAACAGCACAACCGTGTGGAACAAAAGTTCCTTCAGACTGCAGGAAAAGAGTTGTCAAGACCAAAACTTCTTGGGTTGTTTTTTTTAATCTCCTGGAAAATACTGTATCAGGGAGGAAACAACGGTACATATTTTTCTTCTTAATGTAGTGGTTTCTATTTTAAGAAAAGTTCATTTTTACTACTGAAGACCTATAAAGCATAGGACCAAAATGGAGCAAAAATGTAACTGCATTGGTTCTTATGCTAGTGTGAAATAAGGATGGAAGATAAAGTCATGTAGAGAACAAAGTTATACTTATTTTTATTAATATTATATTATATATTATATTAAATGGCATATTAATATTTAGATAGCAGTTTTTCTGGTTTTTCTTTTTTATCTGTACAATGTCAAGAACAGTTGTGAGACTGTTTACTGAGAAACATCAACTTGACCATTTACCCTGGAATTTAAGACAAATTGGGCACAAGTGGATTTAAATTAAAGCCCCTTTGACTACGTGATGAAAAGTTCAGTGCAGGGAAGTCCATTGTGGAAATTTCTTTTCTGAACAGGAAATCACCTTTGGTTTTGGTTCAGCCCACAGGGTTTAAATTTGTTCCATCTGGGTTGACATTGGTTTTGGCTGTTTTCTGCCAGTGTAACTGCCTGATCAAAACCACAAGGATGGGTGTCAGTTCCCCTCAACCAAGCGCCCCTAGTCTCCACACAGCATCTTTTTTTAAAAATGGTTTCAACTCAGCACTAGAACACAGTATTTCTTGGGAACATAGGAAAACTAAATAGACAAAAAGGGAGAGGTGGCAATTGCTGATTAGCACCTTGTTAGTACCTTAAGACAGCTTTTGCTGTTGGAATTCTGTGCAAATGTAACTCTTTTCCTGCTGACAACTTTAAATTATTACCTGGACAGCTACAGTAATTTATCCAGGAAAATCTGATCTGATAAACTGCAAATACACAGTGGATCAAATTGTATTTTCTCTGCTATGTAGTTACACCCGAACTCTGATTTGATTTATTCTGTGAAACATGCAGTGGATCAAATTGCATTTTCTCTGCTATGTAGTTGACTCTGTAGCAAACTCTGATTTGATTTATTCTGTGAAACATTTGGAATTGCTGTCTCAATAATTTGCAAGCAAATTAGAAGAAATTTGGCATAAGACAGATGTGCGAAATAAGCTTTAAATAGCAGTGTTATGTCTCGTATTCTTCACAAGGTATTCATGGAAAACATCTGAGTGGAGAAGATGTGATATTACTCTTCTGCTGGAACAGCAGAACCTCCGATACAATAAAGAGACAACCCTCTGTGGAGGTGGGATACAGCTTCGGGAAGTATATTGCGCCCAGACTATGCTAGAGGAAACATACAGCCTCAAGGAAGGTATGTCAGAAGTTGTTTACATTGACTATAAAGAAATAATTAGTATGAAATACAAATGGAATCAAGAATATATTTGTACTGCAATAAACTGGTAGAGGTTAAACAGGAGGACAAGTAAACTGATGTTCCTAACACAATTTTGAAAAAGAAAATACTTTAATGTTAGTTTCAAAATGTTATTTTTAGATTATATGCATCCATTTCCTAGTCTTCATGTTTAACACAGAAGTAATAATTTTAATAGCAACTCATTTATGCTCATGGCTCTCTATCTACCCTATGAATTGTGAAGTATCCAAAAAAGTTGATTATTTCTTCTCATTTCATGTACACATCAAGCTCATACATGTTGAAAGACTTTGCCATTCATTTCAGTGGAGGCTGAGGAGGATTAGCATATGGAAATATTTTTGCATCTACATGATATACCATATTTGCCGGCGTATAAGACGACTGGGCATATAAGATAACTGGGCATATAAGACAACCCCCCAACATTTCCACTCAAAATACCACCTTCGATGGGGCGGCCAGGCTCTGCTGCGGCACCGGCGGCAGCTGCCCAGGGCTCTGCCTGGGCCCGCCCTGGAAGTTCATGGTCGGCGACAAGGCCCGAGGAGGGCGAGGAGGAGGGGAAGCATCCGGGTGGGGTGGCAGCAGCGGAGGAGGAGGAGGAGGAGGAGGAGGGGAAGTGGCTCTCCGGCGGCAGTCAGGCGAGCGGGCAGCTGGTTCAGCAGCACGGGGCGGCGGGCAGCACGGGGGTCGGCTCTGGCTGCTCAGGCATGGCCGGCTCTGCTTCCCTCCCTCCGTCCAGACCGACCGCCTGCCTGCCCGCCTGCCTTCCTCCCCAGCCGGCATGGCCCCACGTCACTCACTCAACAGTGGCGGCTCCTTCGAGAAAGTCTGACACCACCCTCCTGGCCCAATTGAAGTGCACCTGGGGTATAAGATGACCTCCCCCCCACTTGGAGGCGTGTTTTTCAGGGCAAAAAGTCATCCTATACGCTGGCAAATATGGTACATGTGTTTATTAGAGGCCTCAGACAATTTGTAAAGTAGATATCATAGATTATTCATTTTTTAAAAAATACTGTGAGAGGAAGAATTGGAAATAGTAGTGTCAGAAAATTAGAATACAATCAGAAGAAGCAAGCGTGTGTATGTGCATTCATATTTTTAAGAGGTGCAAGAACTGGAGACATGTTCTGGATTCAGAAGAAACACAAGTGAACAGAAAGATGCCTGATGAACAATTTATTTTCATCCATTTTAATTTACGATGCCTACTGCTTCTGTAAAATGTTGCTTTGTGGAGAGATGTAAAATAGTAGAAGCTCATCTGAGGACTGGCTTGTTTACAGAGGCAAAATAGGTCTATCTTTGAGATAGGTAGTTTCCCCCGTTGTTCTGCTTGAATGATTCACCTACTGCTGGCTGATTATCTCTCCTGTCAATATGAAGGAATAACTTTTTGCCACCTGTTCCAAACCTCCTCCCCCTGCTTTGCCTCCCACAAACTCCAAATACAGCAAGTCATTTATGAGAGGAATCTTTGCTTGAGGGCAGATTCTCTCTCTGTAACACAGATTACCCACAACTGCTTTTGATTGTCTTGTCCTGTTTGTCATGTGTTCTTCTGCGCAGCAAACTGTCAAATTTTGCATAGATTAATGCACTTTTTGGTGATTCCTGCACTTCAGCTATAACAATCCTGCACAGCTTGGTTTTCTCCTGTGTACACAGGAAATAATTCATTCTATGCGGGAATTCTAGCAGTCCTGAGCAGCTTGGCATATCTTTTTTTTTGGGGGGGGGAAGGATCACAAACAATCAAAAATCATCTGAGACTCCCATGAGACTTATTGGGGGCAAAGAATTCATGCAGATAAATCATGTTGTGAGGAGAAAAGAGCCTCCCCCTCCCTCAATTTTAACAAGAAGAAGCAGGATTCTCATCACAAAATCTGTGTTATGAAGAAATGAAGAACTGTCACTCGGAGACTCTGGCATCAACTAGCAGAAGAGGATTTCCTTCTGCACTGAAGCTCTGTGGGCCATCCATAAGCCTGCTCCAGAAGAGTTCTGCAGGTTTTAGGACAGATGGAAGACTTTAGGGGAGAAGGAGATTTGCCCCCTCCTGGAAGCTCTCTTGATGGAAGCAGTTTGAATCAATCAAATAACAGGGTTTCATTTTGTCCTTCCTTTGTAACAATGCCTATTTGTTTGCTGAATGATATTGTGTTACAGTTGCTGAAAGGTCACGGTGTCTCACAAACATTGGCCGAAGTCATGTTGCTTAATGTAGTAAATTGCATTACAGTAGGCTCCTGGATTCAGTGGGGATTTGGTGAGTCAATGCCTCCATAAGTTCTATTGCTTCAAGCAGGCCTAAACTAAATGAAATTATGCTAAAATAATTCACAACTAAAGTAGGCCCATTTGAATCAGTGGAACTTACTGAGGACTTGACTCTCCAAACCCCTAGTAATTCAATGGGCCTATTTTAGTGAGCCTTATTCATTTAACTCAATAGGATTTCGACCACTGTTTCAAGATCCTTGAGCCTGGTATTTTATAGCATTTGTAGGTCTGGTGCAGAGGTAACAACCTCAGTCCAGTAAATCATAGTTTAATTAACCAAGAATCTATGTTGTGTGTGTCCCCTTCACTTTCCTTCTTTCCTCTTCTCTCTGCTATTACTGAGAGTCAAAAGTAGTTGGGTGGCTAATAGGTTGGACAGAGACACGGGAAACCTGGATTCACGTCTCCGCTTGGCCAAGAACTTAACTGGGTGACCTTGTGCCAGTTGCACTGCCCCCTCCTAACTTACCTGATAGAGTTATGAGGATAAAATGGGGAGAAGAAGACTCATGTAGGTCTTGAGCTCACTGAGGGAAATGCAGGATATAAATGTAAAACGTTAACCGTAGTACAAAGAATCATCATCCTTGTCAGCACTGGCACCAGCAGAATTAACACCGGCATTGTTTTTCATGGGTGAAACACATAGGTGAAAACACCGTTTCCTCATTCTGACATAATGGCTGAAATCCAGTTGGTGCAATTGTGTCACATAAACAGTGAGAATGTCATCATTCTATATCTTTAATTTTTAATTAAATTCCAAACTTCCTATCCCTGCCGTCAGGTTCCAAGAGTTCCCAGGGCCCCCTTTCTTTCTGGGAGAACTTTTGGGAGCTTTGGAATGATGTTGAGGGAAGGCTTTAAAATTGGAAAATCATTGCCAGTGGTCTTGCTGCCAGATCAGGACCAGTGCTCACAAATCTGATGGCAATGTTACGATTTTAAATGCACTGACCTCCATTCCAAAACTCCCAATGGCTTCTCCAGGGCAAAAGAAATCCCCAGGGACGTTCAGAACATGAAGGTGAAGAGAGAAAGTTTTTAATTTAATTAAAATGAAAATGCTCAGGGAGGGGGGTGGCATCACCATTTACATGGTGTAGTTGTGCCACTTGGGTTTCAACCGATATGTGTATGATTTAACAAATGCTGGGTATTTGGTGCTAAAAGTATTCTCAGAAAGGATAGAAAGGAGGAGTGGATGCAATGCTCATCTTTCTTAGAATGAAGTGTGCTCTACTGAAGTCAGATCATTATGTCGGAATCAGGCCATAGATTAGTCCTCCTTTGCAGTAATAGCTCCAGATTAAATTACACCCATTACTTCTTTCAAGGGTAAGATTAAGAATAAAATAGAGAGGCCAGAGAGAATGGGGACTTGGATGGACATGGATTATGATGATAAATGCATTTTAAGGAGATGCTTAAAAGGAGATGCTTAAACTAGAATTCACTCTCTCTCTCTCTCTCTCTTCCCATCACTGCATTTTAGATCTGCATTACAGTAAGAAATAGAAATAGAAAACAACAACCATTTGCATGGGCTGATTAACGTATAGGAGGTGCAGGATCCAGCAACCTCGTGTCTTGTCTGCAGTCAATAAATATTATATGGCTGAAATCCTTTAGTGCAGTTATGCAAATAGCATAACATTTAGATGCAAATTCCAACAAGTTAAGAAACCTAGGGACGTGGTGGCGCTGTGGGCTAAACCGCAGAAGCCTGTGCTGCAGGGTCAGAAGACCAAGCAGTCGTAAGATCGAATCCACGCGATGGAGTGAGCGCCCGTCACTTGTCCCAACTCCCGCCAACCTAGCGGTTCGAAAGCATGCAAATGCGAGTAGATAAATAGGGACCACCTTGGTGGGAAGGTAACAGCATTCCGTGTCTAAGTCGCACTGGCCATGTGACCACGGAAGATTGTCTTCAGACAAAACGCTGGCTCTATGGCTTGGAAACAGGGATGAGCACCACCCCCTAAAGTCGAACACGACTGGACAAAAATTGTCAAGGGGAACCTTTACCTTTACCTTTTTAAGAAACCTTTATAAGTCTTTTCTGTGGCACACACCAAATCCTGTGAATTAGTATGCTATAGATAATTTTAAGAGTAGAGATAAGCACAAACCTCGGTTCTGAGTTTCATGCTGGTTCACACGTGCCCTTCCCCTGCCTCCCCGGCCAATGGCACACTCGCCAATTGGAGTGCACTCCCCCTCTTTGGCTGTTCGGCCAGTCCCTGGTAGGGACACGGGCTTATCTGTCCTGCCTCCTTGTGTAAGTGGGCAATCAGCCAAGGAGGTGGGACAAGGAAGCCCGTGCTCCTCCTGGAGACTGGCTGAACATCTGAAGAGGAGGAGGAGGAAAGGAGCACATGCCATCTGGTGAGTGGGGGATCCAGCCAGGGCACGGAGGAAAGGGAACGTGTGGCCCCTGTGGTGCCGTGTGTATGAACTGGCACAAACTTCAGAACCACGGTTCATGCCCATCTCTGGTTAAGAGGTTTTTTTAAGGCAGTTCACTTCCAAAAGTTGTTTATGTAACTGTGCAACAGGATTTCAGCCGTATCAGTGTAGCTTCTATGAAACTGTATTCTCTTAGGTAGCCAGGTTTAGGGTCTAAAAAGCCAGTAAAT